GACAGCCTTACCCACCTCAACAGACTCAATTGTACTTTCTGGATTACTTAATGGGAAAAGATTTTCCAGCTAAGATAGGAACTTTCATTTCATTGCTCCTTCCATGTGCCTCACTCCAGGCCTGTCAGAAGTGCTTCTCCTCCTCATACACACAGACAGGGCCCTGATCTCTGCCTTGTCCATAATTTTAAAAAAAAAGTACCACAAGCTTTTCTTTTCCCAGTGCCCTCTTCTAATTAACTCAGCTAATGGTACAGGACCACCACAGAACTGGAGTCCAGAGACCATCAAGTAAGAAACAGTAACAGCTAAAAGGTATTTACACCCCCAGACCCAAAAGTGGTTGGGCTCTGCAAAAACAGACTTTAATATAACTATCTATTACTGTTAAATGCTCTCAACAATTGATCACCTGTATCTCCTGGATGATATACTACTTAAAAAAAAAGGTGCCTTAAATAATCTGTCTCTGATAAAGCTTAAAAACATGTTCCAATCTTTCTGTCTCTCCCATTAACACTAACCAATATAAGCAGAGTACTAAATGCTACCATGGTCACTAATTTTCTCATGGCTGCTTCTTAACATGTTCAAAATTTCTCCCAAGCTCCAGAAACCAGCTTAAATCCATCTGGACTGGTCAGATCTACTTCAGGCTTTTCCTGTCTCATCAGCATCCTGTCAGACACAAAAGTAGCCAGGGTGCCAAGCCAAGAGGGATGGACGGCTTCAGGGCAGCAGGACTACCCATCATCCCAGGATGCCTGTCTACCTCGGAAGACCCCCTTCCCTACTTCCCCTAAGAGCCAACTGAACCCACCAAGTCAGCTGGAAATAGTTTTTCCACAAGAAAACTATTCACTCGCTTTTTTTTTTATAATAAGCAAAAAGTCTGGAATGTTAGGATCCTGCTCTCATCCCTCCAGGTCTGCCACCTTATGTTATCAGCAGGCACTGGCAATTACGTGGTCATGCAATCTGTGCCTTGAAAAGTCAAACACAGACCCCCATGCTCTCTCTCTCTCTCTGTGCTCTGTCAGGGACAAGGACAGACTCTCTAGTTAGTGGAAAAATACAGACCCCCCGAAAAGACAGGGAACTAGATCAGCTTACAGTCAGGTTGCCTAGCAACAGGACATTGAGTCAGAGCCCTTGACCCTCTCACCCTGTAAACATCTTATACAAGCATCCTGTTAGCTTGCCCCACCTTATGCAGATGACAGCTTCTTGCTCCCCCCCAACCCTGCAGGAACTATATAAACCTTTCTGGAAGAGAAATAAAGTGGCACCTTGATCAGAATCTAGACTTGGTGTGTTTTCCTTTGTATCTCCTGTCCCTACATTCCCTCCTTAGGGTGGTCAAGAACCCGTTGTAGCCCTGCAGGTGGGGCAACTGGCGCCCAACGTGGATGAAACCACCTCTTGAGGATTCGGAACTTCATCTCCCGGAGGAAGACCAAGGCCTTGGTGAAGTTGTTGGATCCCCCTGAAATCGCCTGGTTCAGGATGCGATCCCGGAGGAGAGCGGAGACAATGCAGGTAAGAAAGAGCCAAGGGACAGGCAACTTTGTCATGAGATTTATTCATTTCTGGCCTAAATGAGCCCCTCAAGATACAAGGAACTAGGGTAAAGAAAAAAGACCTTAAAGCCTTTTTTTTTTATTAATGTCATTCTTAGGGTCTATAAACATTCCCCTGACATGCAAGAGGTTCTTAATATAAAAAAAAAATCTTCAAAGAAGCCCTTCACTCCCCCTCTACCTGCCCTAAGATCCCCTAAACACTTTCTCGAGCGCCTTCAGTCTAAGAGGGGACGCTCATGACTTTTAAACCTAAGAAACCTCAGGAGTCTGCCCCTGCCCATCTTTATGCCTCTCCTAACAATTTTACCCCTAACTTCCCTCTAGACCCTGCCAAGGAGGCTTTCCTAGAGGGCTGGTCTGAAGGTAGTGAGTTATCTCGATTGATCACAACCAGTTGCAGATTTCTTTGTTCCTTCTCCACTCCCACTACTTCACTTGAACAGCCATCCTCAAAAACTTGGACGCTAAAGAAACTTCTCGGCAACTCCCCCTATGATGCAAATGCAGCACAGGCAGCTGGACAAAAACAAAAGTACCTTCCTTAAACATTTGGCCTTTGAAAACACAAACCCTGCCTGCCAGGAACTAGGGCTTGGGGTAGCTACTGGTGCTTTCGGGATTTGCCGAGGCAACCATGAGTCCCCCTGGGAGGCTAGAGGGGATGGGGGACATTTTGTCTCTGGATAGACAGTTGCCTGATGTAGAGAATGGGGCCGTATCTGAGATCATGTTTCTGCTCCAACAGAGTAAGGCCGGTCTGGAGTGGGTGATGGTAGAGGATCTCAAAGTGTAGGAGGTGTTGGCGATAGTTTGACTTTATGGGGGAGGATGGAGCCGGCCTTGGAGGTGGTTCCAGGGACTGGGGTGCTGGCAGGGCCAGATGCTTGCTGTTGTGGAGGGTTGGGTCTTAATGGCACTGGGGGGAGGGGAGCTTGTGGGGCCGTGGAGGGGGGAGGGGAGGGCCTTTCCACCTTGGCGCCTGCAGGCTCCTTCATTCATGGTGAGAGAGTCACAGGGGCCGCCAGGGGGAGGGGGAGTCACAGCCTTCTGATTCTCATGATGTGAGGTAGGAGAACATTCAGCATTAACACCATTGCTGATCATCACAGAAAGACTAAATCCTGTTAATGGTGCCATAAAAGAGATACACTCTGTTCCCAGATGATTGCCTGAAGGCCTGGTTAGAGCTGTAAATATACCTGATCTGCCCAGAAGAGATAGGCCCTCTCCTGAGGAAACTTCTTCTGTTTCAAATGCTGTCCCTCCCGCAAGCAATCCAGGCTATTGTTCTCATTCACAGCAACCCCCACCAGCCCTTTAGCTCTGTTATCACTCTGCTCAGAGTTCCTGTTGGGGGGACAGTGGGAACTTTACAGCAAGCTGTGTTTGAGACCTTTCACACAGTATACAAGTCTCATAGTCAATCACATTCTGGGCTGAGCAGGGACACTGCTTGTCACAAATCCAGTCTGACAGCAGGAGTCATGTTTCCAAGGGCAGTGCTGAACTTTCATCCAAGGTGTCAGAAAGGCTTGTTGGACTTGCTGGCCTTGGTGTCACAAGTGGTCATAGCCATGTTGGGCTAGCTTGACACAGCCTGTGGCTGGCAGGTAGCACAGCAAACAGGGTAGCACCAGAGATGCCACTCAGGACACTTAGGTCCCTTCCACCTAGACTAACCTATTATTCCTCAGATCAATTCTTAGATCTCTAGAAAGAAAAGCTATGCTGAGAAAACTGCCTTGATGAGAGCCTGTTGTTGCCATCACCTTAGCAGTCCTTCTGGGGGTTGGAGCAGTGGAAACAGGCACAGAAATTGCCTCTCTGGTCCTGTTCAACCAACATTACTCTGAGCTTCACCTGTCCATAGATGAGGATATTGCCCAATTTGAACAGGGAATTTCTGCCCTCGAGTCATCTCTTTCCTCCCTAGCTGAGATAGTTTTACAGAACAGGAGAGGCCTGGATCTCCTCTTTTTTACAACAGGGTGGCCTTTGTGCTGTTCTCAAAGCGGAATGTTGCTTCTTTACAGACCACACCAGGGTAGTCAGAGATAGTTTAGTAAAGGCTAGAAAAGGACTAGAAAAAGAGAAAAAGAAAAGGAGAGCAAGAGCTTGGGTGGTTCTAGAATTAGTTTTTCAAACTCCCCTTGGCTAACGACCCTTCTTTCCTCCCTCCTAGGACCTGTTTGTAGGCCTGCTCCTGTCCTTGCCTTTGGGCACTTTCCTGGCTCACTTGGTTCATCCGAAGCCAAATAACAGACCTGCCGGCCAGGCAGATCCAGGTTCATTACCACTGTTTTGATATGCAGGACTCCAGGGTTGAAATTTCCCCTGATGAGAGATGCCCCACACAGACCCCTTCACTCGGGGGAGGCTGCACCTGTGTGTGGGAAAAAGGCTCACTCAAGGCATGATTGGAGTGCAGCTGGGACTGCACAGGCTGGGGACCATGGTACCCCAAAATCCCGAGGACCATGGTACCCCAAAATCCCGAGAGCCTGGATTATATGCCCTGTTGCATAGCGGTTGTGCAGTAGCAGCCTGAGTCTAGAGAAACATACCCTCTCGGACCTTTTCACAACTTTTAGAGGGACAGGGCCTCTGTAATCCTCCATGCAAAGCCTCTTTCAGAGCCCTCCTTTTAGACCATTTGAACCTGGTTTATGTTGGCTCTTAGATTTATTACTAAGAAGGGGGAAGATGTCAGGGCCAAGAACAGAATCTCTAGTTAGTGGAAAAATACAGACCCCCGAAAAGACAGGGAACTAGATCAGCTTACAGTCAGGTTGCCTAGCAACAGGACATTGAGTCAGAGCCCTTGACCCTCTCACCCTGTAAACATCTTATACAAGCATCCTGTTAGCTTGCCCCACCTTATGCAGATGACAGCTTCTTGCTCCCCCCACCCTGCAGGAACTATATAAACCTTTGTGGAAGGAAATAAAGTGGCACCTTGATCAGAATCTAGACTTGGTGTGTTTTCCTTTGTATCTCCTGTCCCTACATTCCCTCCTTAGGGTGGTCAAGAACCTGTTGTAGCCCTGCAGGTGGGGCAGTGCTCTGCTCTGTGTTCTCTCTCTGTTCCCTGCTCTGCTCTGCTCCCTCCCCTGCCAGGCCTGGCTCCCCTCTTATCCCCTCTTTCTTTCTAATAAAGCTCTTTTAAACTCTGGGAGTCGTGGCCATGGCCCGTGACTTTTTCACTGGTAACCAGCACCACCCACCAGCATCATTTTTCTATCAAACAATCCCCTTTAAATAAAAATAAATATATATAAACAATATCTTGAAAATTTGGGCACTGCTTCTCATACTACTTCCTGCTGATTGGGAGTGCTGGCCATCTTGTGGGGATCCTGAGAAAATTAAGAATTATAGTTAAATCTTGGCTGTGGTAGTCTGTGAGGTTATACTGACCTTCCAGGGAGTCTTGGTTGATCAAACCATATTAGCCTCGAAGCAATCCACAGGTTCTCATCTTCTGTGGAAACCAAAGCAGAAACTCTTTTCCAAAGCAACGTATCCTTAGACACAAATTTTGAAGTCAAGATACCTTTGAAATATATATATTGGTTTAACTTAGTAGCCTTTACAATTAAATGTTTCTCTCCAGTTAAAAATGCCAAAAGCAATATAATAATATGCAGTATTCAGATTCTTTGTGTAATATCTATGCTTACATGGCTTAACCTTTGTATTATTCTTATTGTCTCTTTAATACTTTTTAAAACTATTTCTTTATATAACTGTCTATATTCATTTTCTCTCTCTTCCAAGTCTACATATATTCTTATGCACATTGTAAACCATTTAAAGTTTTATTCCATCTGAATCTGCCTTTATTGTAAACCTATAATCATTTTCTGGCCAGGAGAGATTTTCAACTGTTAAGCTGTTTGGTTAGGACAAAAGCCACAGCCCTGACTACTGACTCCAGCCCTCTCAGCATCCCAACATGGCAGGGGTATGTTTACCACCAGCTCTGGGAGCCCTGCTCACTGCCAACTCAGTGGGTCTATGCCTCCATGAAGGAACATGTAGCACAGAAACGTTTTTGTCTGTACTAGTAAAAGCTAATTCACCATGCAGTGCACTGTGTGGCTTAAAGACAACTCTGTGTACCACAGCAGAAATCCACCATGCTGTAGGTCAAGCCTACATACTGTGAACCCATAATACTGTAGCTCAAGCCCATATACCTTGGTGTCTCTGTATCACAGCTTGCCTGAGGGACAAAACTAGGAAGGTGTTTTTAGCTGTTTTAGGATCCTTTTTTAAAAGCTTTCTCGGGTTTTGGATGGAAATTCTTGCTACCACATCTGGGTGCCAAATGTAGCTGTAAGTTCCTCTGGTCCTGCCTGGCCCTGGGTCAGGACGAATCTCTTCCACCAGCATCCCACAGCTGCTTGATGCCAAGTAAAAACACAGAGGCTTATATTACAAACTGTATGGCCTATGGCTTAAGCTTCTGGCTAGCTAACTCTTTCATCTTAAATTAACCCATTCCTATTAATCTATGTTTTGCCACATGGCCTGTGACCATGCTGGCACCAGTCTGCTGACATTGCTCCTTGGACAGCAGGCTGCCTTCTCTGCCTTTGCCTTTCCTCTTCCTGTCTCTCTCTCTTGGATTTCCTGCCTGGCTATAACCTGACTCACCATAGGCCAGAGAAGCTTCTTTATTAACCAATCATAGCAACACATAGTCACAGCATACAGAATGACATTCCACAGCAGTGGGATTTGGAGCCCAAGTGCCTGTGGAGTTTGCTGCAGAGAGGCTGCAACAGAAAATCCCAAACTTGCTTAGAGGCCTTGGGGGAGGGGAGGAAAACCTCGCCTGTGAGGCAGTGGCTCTGGTGGGAACCCCCATGTGTAGCTGTGGTGTGTACCAGTGGCTACAAAGCTATGGGCAAGTAGCTTTTTCATGAATTCATGCCCCAAAAGTTGGACACCAGATGAAGTGTGACCCTAATTCATTTTATTAATAACAACCAGGAGTCAAATATTGGGGTAATAACTTGAAAGGTCAGAGAAGCAAAGGAGCAGCGACTAGTGATTTCTTATTTATTCATATCCTCAGACAAAATGAGGGCTGAGATACTGTCTCCATCTACCTTATACTCCCATCTCTACCTCCTGATTGCTGGGATCAAAGGCATGGGCCTCCAATTGCTGGGATTAAAAGTGAGACACACCACAGACTGGCCTCTATGGTTAACTTGTGGCTAGCTCTGCCCTCTGATCTCCAAGACAGCTTTATTTGTCAGAACACAAAAAATATCATACAACAGTGCCCTGCTGGAGGAAATATGTAACTGGGGGTATGCTTTTTTTCTTTCTTTTTTTTTTGGTTTTTCAAGACAGGGTTTCTCTGTGTAGCTTTGCACCTTTCCTGGAACTCACTTGTTAGCCCAGGCTGGCCTCGAACTCACAGGGACCCGCCTGCCTCTGCCTCCCGAGTGCTGGGATTAAAGGCGTGCACCACCACCGCCCGGCGGGTATGCCTTCATAATTCACATCTGTACACTTTTTCCAATTCCCACTCTCTGGTTCATGCTGCAGGTTGAGGATGTGAGATCCTGCTATATATGCCATGTCTAATACCTGTTGCCATGCCATTTTCATGGTGATCCTGTATCCCTCTGGAACCAAGAGTCAAATCAAACTCTTTCATAAGCTGAAATAGACATGTTTTATCACACCAACAGAAAAGGCACAAATACACATCTGTAAAGTTTTATTCCTCAATTAGTTATTTCATGTCATTGAAGAGATGTATGAAACCTAAAAGGGTTACTTTATTATTTAAATTGTAGGGCTTCATCCATGAGTTTGCAGGTACAAACAAAATAAAGAGGCACTGTAGTGCTTAAACAGATTGTTAATATTGTCAGATGTTTTCTCTACAGAATACTCTTGTGTAATGAAAATGTGTTGGCTAAAGATATTACCAAATCCTCTATAGTCAGATTCCCTTTGTTATGAGTTTTTTCACGTTCTTAAAGACTGCTGTGGTGTGCATAGGCTTTAAAAGAATGATTGCATTTAACAGAATGCTTTAGAGTAAAACTTTTCTACTCTTATATAAAAACTACCATGAAGTATAAACCCCTACCACACTGACTTCATTTATAGGGTTTCTCTGCAGTTTGTTTTTTTCTCATCATTTCAAAAATTGCAGTGATGTCCAAAGGCTTTAACACATTGATTACATTAACAGGATTCCCTCCATTATAAGTTCTTTCATGTATTTGGAAATTACTGTTACATGCAAAGGCTTTCTGACATTGATTACATTCATAGGGTTTCTCTCCAGTATGTGTTTTTTTATGCCTTAGAAGATGACTATGATGTGCAAAGGCTTTACCACATTGATTACATTCATAGGGTTTCTCTCCTGTATGGGTTCTTTTATGAATTTGGAGATGACACTTTTGTGAAAAGGCTTTCCCACATTGATTACATTCATAGGGTTTCTCTCCAGTATGTGTTCTTTTATGCATTAGGTGATGATTGTAACGTCCAAAGGCTTTACCACACTGATTACATTCATAGGGTTTCTCTCCAGTATGTGATCTTTTATGTACTCGGAGACTACTGTCACATGCAAAGGCTTTCTCACACTGATTACATTCATAGGGTTTCTCTCCAGTATGTGTTCTTTTATGTGTTAGAAGATGACTGTGACATGCAAAGGCTTTCCCACACTGATTACATTCATAGGGTTTCTCTCCAGTATGGGTTCTTTTATGAGTTTGGAGATGACACTTTTGTGAAAAGGCTTTCCCACATTCATTACATTCATAGGGTTTCTCTCCAGTATGTGTGCTTTTATGTTTTTGGAGACTACCACTAAATGCAAAGGTTTTACCACATTGATTACATTCATAGGGTTTTTCTCCAGTATGGGTTCTTTTATGGGTTAGAAGATTACTCTGTCGTGAAAAGGCTTTACCACACTGATTACATTCGTAGGGTTTTTCTCCAGTATGGGTTCTTTTATGTATTTGGAGATACCAGTGTTGTGAAAAGGCTTTACCACATTGATTACATTCACAGGGTTTCTCTCCAGTATGTAATCTTTTATGGGTTAGAAGATTACTCTGTCGTGAAAAGGTTTTACCACAATGATTACATTCATATCCTTTCTCTCCAGTGTATGTTCTTTTATGCATTAGAAGATGACTATGATGTGTAAAGGTTTTACCACATTGATTACATTCATAGGGTTTCTCTCCAGTGTGTATTCTTTTATGTGTTTGGAGACTACTGTCCCATGAAAAGGCTTTACCACATGCGTAGGGTTTCTCTCCAGTATGGATTGTTTCATGCCTTTGAAGATTATTAAGATATGCATAGGCTTTAACACTTTGAATATATTCAAAAGGTTTCTCTCCAGTATGACTTCTTTCATGCCTGCAATGATAATTGACACATGTAAAAGCTCTACCATATTCATTACATTTTTTGAATATATCTTTATGAATTAATTTTACAATTTGGTCTAATTGTAAAGAGAAATCACATCTTAATGTTTTATCATTTTGTTTCCATTCATTAAGGGTTGTTTTGGATCTTTGAATATAGACGTGATAGTAAGATCTTTTATTACATGGTTCACATTTATAGCATGCTTTTCCTATATGAGATTTTTCACATATTTGAAGAGAACTGGAAAAACTCAGAGCTTTACCACACATACTGCATTCACAAATTTTCCTATAGTGTGAATCATACTACATTTGCAAACTGAACCAGGATAAACAGAATTATTTACACATTCCTAGTATTCATAGGGCTTTTCTGTAATGTGAGTTTGTTGATGTGTTTCTAATGAAGCTGGAAAAGCAATTACTTATAAACCTGAATCACATTTAACAAGTATATTCAAAGTGGGGACTACTACATATCTTCTAATTATTCTGAGAGGGAGAGGTATATGTGGCTTCTTTCAATATCCCTGTGTTCCTATGGCTTGTATTCAGAGTGACATATGATATACTTTTAAAGGGAGAATAACAAATAAAAGGTTTCCACCTTGCATTCACACAGTTTGACTTCCTGGTCCTCAAGACATATGGTATAGGGATTAAGGTTTATCCACAACAACCACCCCATTGGCTCTTAACTCTATCCCTCCTCTCACTAAATTTAGCAAAATCACAAAAAGTATATGAGTAACACAAGCTTTACTCTGGACTATTTCCTTATTAGAAGGTTTTGGACATATACTATCACCTATTCAATGTGCATACATTTTGTATATGAGTGGTATGAAACTAAAAGGATTGGCAGGCAGTTCTACAGCACAGTTCTCATGAGGTTATGAATCAAATGGTAATATCTATTAAGGCATTGTTTCCTTGTCTTCTTTCTTAAAGTAAATCATTGCAAATATAATTCACCTACTTCACATTGAGGTATATAGTTTTGTGAGAATTTAATAATCATCAATGCACTTTAAGCTGTGTATAT